TTTTGTTGATTGTATAAACAGGAAAAATGTGAGTGGAAGTGTAAACATTTAAAATGCACTAGAAAATGTTATGATTTATGTAACCGAAGACCTTGTTATGAGCCTTGCACATTAAAGTTGAAATGTGGACATGAGTGTATTGGTTATTGTGGAGAACCATGTCCTCCTTTATGTCGAATTTGTCAAGAAGACGAAGTTACAACAATAGTTTTTGGCAATGAAGATGAACCAAATGCAAGGTAAATTGGAAGAAATATCTGTAAGATATTTGTATTTTTTTATTTTGTGACAGACCTTGGGTTTTTGTTAGTGATATTTTGTTAGTATACAAGGTGATTTTTTTTAATCATGATTACCCTTATTTTTTCCTTTAATAATACAATTATTCAAATCTAATATTTAGGATTTTTAAGTATATCTAAAAAGACCACATTTTCAAATTCTTGATATTTTTTATACTATTTAAGAAGTGTCCTGTGGGAATACAAATTTCATTTACTCTCATTTTTCAAATGATAGTTGTATTATTTCAAATTTACAAATCATTTAATGTATGATTTTCTTGAAAATGTTGATGTATCTAAATCAAAATTCTAATAAGTAGTTTCTGAGTTATTAAAATGTTTATACAATGATAATCCTTAAATATGGCTTTACAAAATTATTAACTATAAGTAGTCCTCTAGTTGTAGTATTCATTATACTTAGATCATTTTTTCAAATTAATAAACAAACAGAAGTTTGTATTGTCACAGGTTTATTCTTATTTTTATCCTTTTATGGTACAAAAAAACCAATGTATTCTAAAATATGGTTATCAAGTATACCAATTTAAAAATTTCAAAAATCAGAATTTGAATGTATGTATAATTTAAGAAAACAAATAGGGCAAGTGTGTTTAAAAAATCACCCTGTGTATGAAATTAAAATTGTATTAGTTATTTTTATATATTCATAGATGTAGATATTTTGCTTTGGCATAACGCTCTAAGGTTATATTGTGTCGTATAATTATATTATATTATATTTTATTACAATAAATATATATTATGTCATGGCAACATTCTTTTTGCACCAGCTGTGATTTTTCTGTATATTAATTAATGTTGATGTATTATTTATTTTATTTTTTAGATTTGTTTATTTAGAAGATTGTGAACACACTATAGAATCAGAAGCCTTAACAAAATGGATGAACCAAAATGATGAAGAAATATGTTTGAAACAGTGTCCGTTATGTAAAACACCAATTTTAAAAACCCAACGTTTCCTGAACCAAGTAAAAGTTATATTAAAAGATATATCAAAAATTAAAACAAAACAGTATGGAGAATTAGCTGTAATTCGCAGCAAAACAAAGACAGTAATTGAATCACTAAAATCCTTGGATAAAAATTTTATTTCAAATTATATTGGTGATAAACATTGTAATATCAAACATTCATGGAATACATTTTGTAAGCCTTTATTTGGATTTTTGAATAATAAACGTTCAAAGTTCACTTTGCCCGCCAATGATATTGAATCGTTAAATTTTGTCATTGATTTGTTTATAAATACTTCAAAGTTTAAAAATAGAATTAAAGAAATCAAAGATGGCCAAAGAAAACAAACTATAATTAATCACTTTGATTGGATTTTGTCTGTTGCTTTCACTTATGCACAACAGTTGTCAAATCAGCAAAAATCTGATATACGCATGGAAATGATACGTGGTTCAAGAATTTTAAATTTATTTGAGATCATGTCTAATGGAAAATTTCAAGCTGCAGTTACAATGCAAACTCTTGATACTAATGAAATAAAAAAAACAGTAGATAATATGGAGGCATTATTAATGTCATGCAGCATTTATACATTAAGCAGGGATCAGGATATAAATAAGTTAACAGAAGAAATCCAACAAAAAATTGATGATCTTCCTTTAATAACAGATGATGAAAGGCAGATGATTCATGCCGCTATGTCCACCAGTTTTTCAGGAGGCATCAAAGCTCAAGGTCATTGGTGTAAATGTCCGAATGGCCACATTTATTGTGTTACGGAATGTGGAGGGCCAATGCAGCAATCTATTTGTCCTGAATGTAAAGTAGAAATTGGTGGACAGAGTCATCGACATGTTTCAGGAATCACCGTAGCATCAGAGATGGATGGCGCTAGAAACCTCATGTTTCAGTATTAGTTATTACTCAAAAAATTGGCTTTTTATTTTTATTTTACCAGCTGAATTATTAACATGTAAATAGCTCATGTTTATTTTTATAATATCATATAAACTTTGTTTCTGATATTATTTTATCTAGTTTATTAAAATATTACAGTATTTAAGTATCACACTAATTAGCAAATGTATCAATTTACTAATTATTAACTAATAAATTAATGATAACATAATAAAAATTAAATTAAATTAAATTATAACATAAATAAATAGTAAATAACACTTAATTATTGGTGTTTTTCTCTGCATTTAATAACAGATTTATAGCGGTTTAATCATGTAAATATGATATAAGAGTACTAAGTTGTAATAAGTATTGATTAAGTTTATTTGAAATATTTTTACTTGTCAAATAATGTTTCATTAGTACCTCATTTTTATTATAAATAATTAAATATTCAGAACTAAAGATATTAAATAATTAAATTCAAATCTGCATTAATTATTTTATATTTTACATTTAAAAAAAAATTGTACTATGAAATCTTGATGTATCAATGAAATTGATTGTACTTATTAGTTATCATGACATGCAAATGCATTTAATGTTACTATGATCTTAGGGTGTCTGAAATATAATCAAAATGTAATAAAGTTGTAGTTTCTTATTACTATTTACTATTTTTCTAAGATTTATATTTCACACCATTGAAAAATTAATCAGCGTGGCAGTGAAAAACTGGTAAAAAAAGCATAAATAATCAGAAAAACTGGAATTGAGCATTTTTTCGAAAAATTGCTGAAAAAGGCAAAAAAAGCACTTTCAAATTTCATAATTGAATGTGTTGTAACATGACATACACTTCCATAGCACTATGATACATTTTAAGTCAACCCATAAAAATAAGCAAATGCTTTAAGTCCCAGGCCCTAGTTATAACCTATAACTATTTAGCAAATCAATATAATAAAAATATATTTTTTTATTAAATTAAATTAATTCATTTTTTTGGTTGATAAAATATTACCATTTTTTTACAACAATTGTTTAGTGATTGGATTGTATATACAGGGTGGGGCAATGGGTTCTGACGAATTTTAATCGTAGTTTATTATTCAAGTATTATAAACAAAGTAATGAAACATATTGTATTTTATTCAACATAAAGATTATTTCTAATTG